TCCATGCAGCTTAGGTCTGTATTATATGAACAACACTTATCAATCAGTTTTTTTTTTTTTTTTTTTTTTTTGAAGGAATCAGCGTATTTCATGTGATCCGAACTAAAAGAATTTTATAATTAAAGGAGAAAGAGAAAATTGACCTTCAAATTCTTCTTACATCGAAGATTGATTGATTCTATTGATGCAAAAAATGGGAGTTTTGAAAAGCTCTGTAATTCTTTCTTTAACAAAAAAAAAAAAAGCTCTGTAATTCTTTCTTTTTTTTACACACTTAACACACGAGACGAAACGCTGTCGTTTTAATTGGAAGAAGATAACGGATCACGTGACACGTGGGCGTTGGTCTCGTAAGTCGTAACGAAGTGAGAGTTGACTGACTCTGCTAATTATATGTTTTCATAATTTCAGTTTAGTTAAAAAAAAGAAAGGGAAAAATCGCAGTGAATAAATCAAGAAGAAGTAAACTTACATACAATTAAAAGAAAAGAGGATTTTTAGTATATATTCTCTACTAGTGTAATGGACACCACTGGAGAGCTAGAATTGGTGAATTAAATGGATTTTATGAAATTATATTCCGAAATTAGGGAGAAGAATTAATAAGAGAGTAGAGACATAGTAATGTGACAGACTTCTTGTTGTCTATAATAAAACATACAACATCCATAATTACTATACTTAATTACCTCCTTTAATTATTCAGCAAACATACCATCATGGACCGGATTATCAGGTCAAAATACCCTATATAAACAATAATTTCAAATATACAGTATTGACTAAAATGATCAAAATTTCTGTAAAAACAGAGCTTTATGGTGAAATGCAGAGATAATAAAAGTTTATTGAATATCATCAGTATCAATCAATAGTCAATAAATCAAGTCTACGCCTCAGAAACAAAACTAAACCGAAAACGAAACCAAGTCTAAACCAAAGTAAAAAAGTCTAAACCAAAGTAAAAAAGAGAAACACAAGAAGAAGCAATTTTCATCAACTTAGTAACTCCTGCCCCCAATTAGTCCACTTCTTTGGAATTTTCCTTAATCTTAATGACATTTGGGAATCGGGGTTCTCTGCCGTTAAAAAATAGTAAACCAGGTCGATTTTCGGTTTACGTACATTGGTCTGAAATTTATACGGGAACAAAACCGATTTCAAACAATATCTTCGATTAACTTCTCCCAAAAACTGTTAGTCAAGTGATGAAGGCTTATCTAATAAACCAATTTAGGAAATGAAGAAGACAACTCTTTATAATTCTTAGCGTAATCACAGTCAAAATAACTCAAATTGGTCAAAATATCAGATCAAAGCACAATGCACTTGAGAGAGTCTTTACAAGACAAAAGTAAATTTTCATGAATTGAATCAAAACATGATGAACACTTAGTAACTCCTGCCCCAATAGGTCCATTTCTTGGCAGGCTTTCCTGAAGCAAAGCAGAGAGTGCCTGCATCGAAAACAATGAAGCTTCTGTGTCAATGCATGGACTAAATTTATGAGCAAAATTTCTCAAAACAGATAATAAATTTAAAAGGGTCTCTGACCTTCAGGGAGTTCTGGCTGATCAAATGGAGAACAAAGGGTTTTAGCTGCTCCAGTTTCACCTTTAGTACGTGCCTTAACATCTCTCTCCACTTCCTACAAAGAATTTCATTTTAAGGAACTTATAATTGCTATCTTCTCGAGTTTTGATTCTATAAGTTGGAATGTGTTTTTTTGCTGTGTAACTTACCTCTTCGTCACACCAGGGAGCTAAGATGAGTTTCTTTTCGTTAAGTGCTTTGATAAACTCATCCCAAGTCTTTACCTCTTGAACACATGCTTCCCTCTTTTGCTTCGCAACTTCATACATGTTTTGCTGGATCTTCTCAAGCAGTTCCTTAACATTTTCGACTAAGCTACCTCTTGGGATATCTTCCTTAACTCCGTTGTCACGTCTCACAGTTCTGACCTATGGGGATGCAAACCAAAGATAAATGAAATCCGTTTAGCTACACTACAAGTTACATATTCAAACCAAACATCACTGCTTTCTCAGTAAAAACCAGGCACTTCACTATTATATGTCCAAGGAATAGAGGAGATATTAAACGGACTGACCTGATCATTTTCCAGGTCTCTGGGACCAATCTCAATCCTCAATGGAACACCCTTCATTTCCCAGTCTGAATACTTCCATCCAGGAGAGTAGTTGTCCCTTAAATCTTCTTCAGCACGGATACCGGCTTCACACAAGGCAGATGCAGTAGCAGTACAAGCATCATAAATTCCTTGGGTATTAGCATCTTTGTAGGGCACGGGGATCACAACAACTTGCACAGATGCGACTTTAGGAGGGAGTACCAGGCCTTTGTCATCTCCATGAGTCATAATCATCACTCCAATCTATAAAAGGTTTGAAAATGAAAAGTTAACAGTGATAGAGATTAGAGCACATGAGAAATAATAATCTAAGTACTTCAAGTATTTACCGTCCTGGTACTGTAGGCCCAAGAATTCTGCCACACCATTGCTGTCTCTGCTTTCTCATTCTCATAGTTGATCTCAAACATCTTCGCAAAGTTTTGACCCAAACAGTGAGAGGTTGCACCTTGTACACCACGACCAGTGTTTGGAATGAAGGCCTATCAAATCAAAGTTTAAATTCACAGAGAGTTTTGACCCAAAAAAAAAAAAATTCACACAGAGTAAATCCACTAGAAAAAAGATTATGTCACAGAACAGAAAGATTACATACCTCTACACTTGTAGTGTAAAGTCCCCCAGCAAACTTCTCATTTTCACTCTTCATACCTTTCACAACTGGAACTGCAAGATATTCTTCATATATGCGACGGTAAAGCTCCAAAATTTGAAGGACCTAAGAACAACGGAAGCAGTATGATGAAACGATTTCACCTAAACAATGTTGAACTGCTTACTATAACCCTTAGTTTGCAGGAAAAAAAAGGGAGAAATTGGATCACATGCAAAAGTTTTAGGTTCACCTACCTCTTCATCTGCTTCTGCTTTCGTGGCGAATGCAGTGTGACCTTCCTGCCAAAGGAACTCACGGCTCCTGCAATTAAATATGTTAGGCAGTGGGCTATGGCAAGCAAACTTCTGCGGCGAAGGTTTTACAGCAGAAACAATGAACATGATGATGACAGAAAAAGTAGAGAAGAGTATATGATAACAAAATACCGGATAAATGGGGTAGGGTTGCTGAACTCCCATCTAACAACATTGCACCACTGGTTAAGCTTCAAAGGCAAGTCACGGTGCCCCCTTATCCACTTGCTGTAGTAAGGGTACATCACAGTCTCACTGGTTGGACGAATAGCAATTGGGATTTCCAAGTCAGATTTACCTGACTTTGTAACCCAAGCAACCTAAACAAACATTCAAATCTGTTAAAAGAAGGCCTTTGTTTTGACAAACAAAATCATATAAGATTTAAGATATGCACACCTCTGGAGCGAATCCCTCAATGTGGTCCTTCTCCTTCTCTAAGACAGCAGGAGATACAAACAGAGGGAAATAGCAATTCTTGACCTTCATTTTCTTGATTTCCGCATCAAAGAAAATCTACAGAAAAATCAATGAAAACAAAATGATCAAACATTTTTATTTGACACTCTTGATTCCACTTTCAATCAATGTGATTAACTTAAAGAAACGATGACACTCACTTGCATAATCTCCCAAATGGCCATGGACCATGGCCTAAGAATATAACATCCAGAGATATCATAGTACTCAATCATATCTTGTTTACAAACCTAGAAAAACATAAGAAGAAAGCGGATTGTCATATAACATGCTTGGGACAAAAAATAAGAGTGCTAAAACAAATCATCTTTAAACATATAAACAAACCTCAGAATACCAATCCCCGAAATTCTCATCTTTCTTAACGCTGAGTCCAAGACCCGTTTCCTTCTTGACGTCCTTTTTCTTCTGTCCAATAGAAGAAGCCTTTGCAACCTTTTCTTTCACAACCTTTTCTTTTTTAACCTTTTCTTTCTTTTCACTGGGACCAGCCATTTTCAACCTTCTTCTTCTGAATGCATTAACAAAAGCGAAATCCATTTATAATCAAAGTCATGAAAATCAAGGTTTATCACCACCAAGTTAATGGATTAGTAAAATCGTAAGCTATTTCGAGATCTGTGAATCGATTGAGTTTTCAGTCAATTTGTCAACGGAATTCGAGTTCTGGTCCACTGACACACAAACGAAATCCGGCGAATACTAAAAAGCTAGGGAATCTAAGAAACACGACAATGGATTAAACTAGAGATGGCCAAGGGGAAAAATAAACGATTGTCGATTCACTAAGAATCCTAGAGAAATCACCAAAATCACAATCGATTCACTGAACAATAAGAAACGTTTGAGCTAAAGAGAAGAAGAACCTTACCAAATTAGCCGGAGAGCTGACGACGGCGGAGCAAAAGAAGCAGCGAAGATAAGAAGAGAGAAGGAATCGAGAGGGTAAAAGAGCGTTACAAGTTGCGAACCTTTGACTCGCTTGACGAGCTTTGATACTAAACTACCTCCAATTATATACGGCCACGTGTTAGGGTTCGATCTGGTTCGTGCCTAATGCTAAGTTTACATGGGCCAAGCCCATATTTTGGTCTATAAGTCAACGATTCAATTTTAACTGTTTAGTTATGGAGAAAAGATGGATTTATATTCTAATCCCATTTCGCAGTCGATCCATTTCCAACTTGAATAATGGTTAGGTCATGGAATAAATGCTATTTTATTACTCCTGAGTAATCGTCACATGTCATTATAACTCAGACCTAATAACAGCTCACCTTAACGGCCCATTAAAGCCCAAATTTGAACCTCAAAGTGCGAGTGATGTTATTCTATCCGACAAAAAAATAAGGGCACCTTAACGGATTAAACTCAAATCTAACAAGGGTGCAAAACTGCAAATTAGTATGATCATCACATGTCAATTAGCGTAAATTTGATTTAACGTTGTTATAAAATGAAATAGATCTTTATTAATTCACTACAAAATTTTGAATTTTTTTTCTGAATTGTCGGGAAGCGCAAAAGTGTTACCGCACCACTAAAATCGACGATGACATACCAACAGTGAATGATTTGACCCACAGAGTCTCTCTCTCGATTTGGGATTCGAGACGAAACCCTAGCTCTGATTTTTTATTCCGATGGAGTCGGGCGAGCGGCGCAATGGCGATTCGATGAGTCACAATCACCGCGCTCCGAAGAAGCCACGCCTCGCTGGGTTATTAACCGAGTCAGATATCGACTCCGAGTTCGCTCACCACCAGACCGGTGTTGCCAGGATCAACAACGGTAGCTTCGGGTGCTGTCCCGGCTCCGTTCTCGAGGCGCAGCGTGAGTGGCAGCTTCGTTATCTTCGTCAGCCTGATGAGTTCTACTTCAACGGTCTCCGTCGTGGACTTGTCGCTTCTCGAACTGTGATCAGTGACCTAATCAACGCCGATGATGTTGACGAGGTCTCGCTCGTTGATAACGCCACCACTGCTGCAGCTATTGTTCTTCAGAAAGTTGGAAGGTGTTTCTCGGAAGGGAAGTATAAGAAGGAAGATACGGTTGTGATGTTTCACTGTGCGTTTCAGAGTGTGAAGAAGTCGATTCAGGCTTATGTCTCTCGTGTGGGAGGTTTTACTGTTGAGGTTAGGTTACCTTTCCCTGTTAATTCGAACGAAGAGATTATCTCCAAGTTTAGAGAAGGATTAGAGAAAGGTAGAGCGAATGGTAGAACGGTTAGGTTAGCTATCATTGACCATATAACGTCGATGCCGTGTGTTTTGATGCCGGTACGAGAATTGGTTAAAATCTGCAGAGAAGAAGGTGTGGAGCAGGTTTTTGTTGATGCAGCTCATGCCATTGGTAGTGTTAAAGTTGATGTTAAAGAAATCGGAGCTGATTACTATGTGAGTAATCTGCATAAATGGTTATTTTGTCCGCCGTCTATCGCGTTTTTCTATTGTAAGAAACGTGGTTCTGAGTCTGATGTTCATCACCCTGTGGTGTCTCATGAGTTTGGAAATGGTTTGCCTATAGAAAGTGCCTGGATTGGGACTAGGGATTACAGTTCGCAGCTTGTGGTTCCATCGGTAATGGAGTTTGTAAACAGGTTCGAGGGAGGGATCGAAGGGATTATGATTAGGAACCATGATGAAGCTGTTAGAATGGGGTTAATGCTGGCTGATGCTTGGGGAACGAATCTCGGGTCACCTCCTGAAATGTGTGTTGGGATGGTTATGATCGGTTTACCTTCAAAACTTTGTGTTGAAAGTGATGAAGATGCTACTAAGTTGCGGTCATATCTGCGGGTGCATTACTCAGTCGAGGTTCCAGTTTATTTTCTCGGATTGAGGGATGGAGAGGAAGGAGTGAAAGACAAAGACAGTGGACTAATTACTGCCTATGTTCGGATCTCTCATCAGATTTATAACAAAACTGAGGATTATGAGAGATTGAGAGACGCAATAACAGAGTTAGTCAAGGATCAAATGACTTGTCAAAACCTTCCTTCAGGGTAGTAACAAGGTATGCTTCAAATTCACAATCTTGCTTATCTTCTAAACAAACATCTGTTGGCTTATCTGCCTTTAAAATGGTGGACTGTAAAAGCAGACAACATAGATCTTGTTCGATATACCAATCTGTATTTTATTTGCAAAGGCAGACAACTTTAGATCTTGTTCCATGCTCTAGATGATGATACTTGCTTGATCGTATATGAACCAAACCAATTAAAGTATTGGTCTTCAAAACATAAGTTTTGGTTTTGGTGGCAGGTATACTTTGATAATCCACAAGGGCCTCATTTAGACTCTTTCATAGATCAAGCACATGTTTCGGGTGTAACAATAAGGCGTTGGAAGAGCCACGGGAAAAGATTCCAGAGATAACATTTATTGATGAGGTTGTGGAGGAGCGGCTTGCAATGGAAGAAGAAGCTAACCTTGAGAGGTCCTTTCTTTTATTAGTCTTTTTAACGTTTAACGGCTTTGTATGATGATTATTGCAAATAAAATCATGTCCGTCTAATCTATCTTCCTCAAACATTCTGCTTTCGAATCGTCGCAATTCCAATAACTTTTCCTTATTGAAAACTTTTTATTATCTCACATTGATAAACAATAAGCATATTCATACATATGTAATGACACTCAAGTAATTTAAAAATGTTGTCTATATACAGTAACACTAACACCAAAATCGTCGAAATAACAATTTATTTTATTCTGAATTAGATGAAATAATCTGAAAAATCGACTGAACATAAAATTTTACTTGGTAGTTTTGTTATTTATACCATAATAATTCGAAATCTAAACAATTCAAACCCCTTTGACCAAAAAAAAAAACAAAACAATTTAACCCCAGACTAAACCGGAATTTGGATTGAGAATGGCTGATTACAGCTGGCGCAAAATGATTGGCACAAAAACTAACTGCTTTTGTTTTTGTATCCGAGTATATAAAATTGATTGCATAATAAAAATTCAAAATTTATCTTGTCGTCTTCCTTGTTTTCTCGGCTTTCAAGAAAATGCTATGACTCCGCTCTAGTTCTTCGTCAATTTCTCTTTGAAGATTCAATTTCGCTTCAGAAATCTCTCAAATTGATCGGATTGAGTCGTCGTTTACCCCAATTTCTGCAAATTACGCATCGGTTTTATTGGTTCTGCATAAACGCGATTGCGATGATTTCTGGGTTTCTGCTTCATGTCGACATGTGAAGTAAGCTCTCTCGTATTCTTTGAACTTGATATAGTTTGGCAATTAGAAATTGAGGTTTTATGGGTAGTGAAAGAGGGTTCTTTAGGGTTTGCGAAAAAGAATGGATAGAATCAGTAATTTGCCAGATGATATTATTTATCACGCAATCTCCTTCCTTTCGGCAAAAGAAGCTACTTGCTTGAAGTATGCCTCCAAGAAATGGCTGAATTTGGTTACCATCATACCGAGTGCTGTTTTTGTTGACTCCTCGTCGTCTGCCAGTAGTGGAAGTTTCCAAGATTTCGCTGATCGAATAAAATTGGCTCCACTTACCAGTCACCGTATGAGGAGATTCTCTCTAAAGTTGCAGTCTTTGGATTTTGCTCAGTATGAAACTGTCAACGATTGTTTACGCAAAGTGTTGGAGTGTGGTGTCTTGGATCTTGAACTGGACATCAATGTCAAAGGAGATTACTCACTGCCTTTTGAGATCTTCACTTGCCAGAGCGTTGTGAAACTGAAACTAGGGTCTGGTTTTGTTATTGACATTCTCCCTAAGAATGCGTTGCTTCCTGCTCTGAAGACTCTCCTTCTTGATTCAGTTCGGTTCGAATTCGATAATACTGGTGGTTGTGCGTTTACAAGGCTTCTTTCTGCTTGCCCTGTGCTCGAGGAGTTAATCATAGATGGATTCAACTGTGAACTTTGGAATTGGTCTCATACCGTGTATAGTCGGATCCTTAAGAGACTTACTATAAGGCGTGCATATTCAAAAGATTCAGATGATTGTGATGACTATGATTTTGAGAGAATTAGTTTTGATACTCCCAGTCTTACCTACTTGGAATACAGGGACTATATTCATGATGAGTTTCCAGATGTAAATCTCAACTCCCTTGTTGAAGCGAAGCTCCAATTTAATATGTGGACTGCTTGGATGAACACCGATCTAACGAATCTGTTCAAGGGGTTGAAACATGTTCAGATTCTGCGCTTAAAGTTCATTGACACGTTGATGGCAAGTGTTCTCTACTGTTTTTTTTTTCTTACTCTTTAATATGTTTCTGCAGCTTAACAGATAGTAAAGAATGGGGAACCATTCAGATATATTTTGCTAGACGTTGGAATGTTTATTAAAGTTTTGAGCCATATATTGCAATTTTATGACTGACATGTTGATTTTTTTTTCTGTTCCAGCTGTTTGATACCTGCAATGAAGCAGACACAGTGTTTGAAAACATGTCTCATTTAGATTTGCCAAGTGAAGCAGATGTCTGCTGGGATCCTCTAAAACTTTTTGTTAAGAAATCTCCAAATCTGAAGACTCTCAAAAGCCCAAAAAGTTCATTGAACAAACCATTAACTATAGTCCAACCCCAATAGGTACTCATAAAATCTTTTCTTTCAGGATTTGCACCATGAATATCGAGAATATCTGGATTTAAAATCTGTCTGCGAATGCTTGGAGGGGTATTCTTTCCTTTTGTCCTGCCCTGTTGAGATCCTAACGATAACCCAGTTCGGTGGACGGATCGGAGAAATGGTGCAAATAAAGCATGTCTTGGAGAAATTGCAGTGTCTGGTGCTGTTGGAAGTTCATGTTGAGGAAAGAAGAGTTGACAATAAGCTGCAGATCTTGGCGGATCTCCTAATGCTCCCGAGAGCTTCATCCAAATGCAAAGTCCAGGTCAAGTTCGTTTGAACAAACAAGAGTTTGTTGCCTCAACATGAGAACTGTTTTGTTTTGCATCTTTCGTACATGATATTGCTCTGAATCGAACAGCTTGGTGTTTTTGTAGGCGTTTTTGTGCCTAAAACACTCGAGTTTGTAAGAGAGAGGCTAAGCTACATTAGGTCTATTATTGCCAAGAATTCCTCAGATATTTTCCAATGAAGCAAAGCTTTGAGGATATAACATGCACAGTTTTGCTGTTTTGGTTGGGTGCATTTTACTTGTGTTGGTAAGTAACTTGCTTTGGTTTGTTTTTATCAAAGAACTAGATTTTAACCCGCGGCACACCGCGGGATGATTTAATTTTAAAGTTAGTATAAAAATATTTTGTAAATTGTATCTCGTTATAACATATTTATTTATATTATAGTTTACAATTGTTATTAAGTAACGGTATACCACGAGTCCACGAGATAATTATTAATAAATTGAGGATTTAACCCGTATTAATGCGGTATATAAATATTGATTCAAATTCGTCCGCCATATAAATCCTTCCCGAAATATAACTCGTTCCGTAATTTCTTAACCCGTCCCGTGATTTGTTTTTATTTTAAAATTTAATGATTATTTATTATATATAAAAGTTTACAAATCATATCATTCTCTAAGACATTTATATTTTAATAAACTGAAGATTTAATATGTATTAAAGCGGCATGTTAATGATATTTTAAAATTTTATTAATATTTTTATTAAGTAACATTATACCACGGGACAATTTTTGGTTTTATACAATCTTTTCTAAATGAGACTGATTTAATATGTTTAATATTGGTGGTATTCAAAAAAATAAGGATTTAATCCGTATTGAAGCGGCGGATTAATGATATTTTAATCTTTTTATTATTGTTGACTCAAAAACCCGTCACGCCAAACCCGTCCGGCCAAAAAACTCATTTATTTATTAATGTTGATCTTATTTATGATATGATTCTGAATCATTGTCTAAATATTTTAATCGATATAGAACGTTGAACACACATTTTCGTCAATTGGATAATACATATGTCCGTTTTAAAAATTTCGAATTACAGTATATGCAGAAAAAAATTGAATTTTTTTTTACTTTACCTACTATATGATGATTCAAAACAGTTAAAAACAAATCAAATAAAGATGATAGGAGAATCATAATTCTAAATCTTAATCAAATCTTCTAAATATCTAAATTATTAAATATGAAATATCCGGTGTATGAGTTGGGTTAAATATAACCCGACCCAACAAATTTTTTTGTGAAGGAATTTAAAAAACGGGTCAGATATCCAATTAACCCAGAAATATTTTTATCTACCCGTCATCAAAGTGTTGCAAAAATACTAGTATAGCTTTTGGAATTAAACTCTAAATCGTAATTGTATCCTCGTCAATTTATTAATGGTATAGTAAATTAGAACAACAACGATATAGCGAAGAAAAGCGAACAGGCATATAAACACGTGGCACGTTTGCAGTGGAAGAATCCATGTAACTAAGCATAGTCTTATGCACAGAGGATTGTGAACTTGAAAAAGCTAGGGATTTTGAAGAAGAAAGCTCCAAACTTTGTTCCTCCAAAGTTTTGAGTTTTGACAATAGGTTATAGCTACAGGGTCCTTGAAGAGAGACATTTTACCTCCATTGTTGATTGAATTCAACAAAAAGCGCATAGTTTTTGGATTCAGAGCTAAGCAAAAAGCGTGATTGTGTTGTTGCGTAGAGGCAGAAGATGGCTGATGAGACAGAGAAACCTATTAGGTTACTCAATTTCGTCTCGGAGGAACAGGTTCTCTCTCTCTCTCTCTCTCCCTCTCTATCGAAACCCTAGTTTTGTAAAATTCGGTTTTTAAATTGTTTGTTTTCCTGAGCAATGGATTTCGTGATCCAGTTAGATGAATCGAAGAAAGAAAGAGGTGAAAGAGTTGAAGATGGAACATTCCAGAGAGACAGGGCTCTCTACGAGGTCTTTCTCCATCCTCCATTGTCGTTTTTTTTCCTAGAAATTTTCAGTCCCATGAGTAAATGATTCGTCTTCTTCTTCCTCACTTGTAATGTGTTCTTTGACCTAAATCAATTGCAGATTTTGAAAGAGAACAAAGACAAGAAAGACGCTGAGTTTAATGAACGATTCAAGCATAGTGAGTCACTATCTCTGTATAGCAGTATTATTGATTCCATCTTTTCAAGCTGTGATCAATTCTTATGTCAAAATCTCTGCTTTGGTTTACCTTTCTGAAATTAATTTTTTTGATTTGTTACCTTGTGTTCAATGGTTTGACTAAAGAAGAGACTATTTTGAATTGGGATTTACAGGACCACCCAAAGCTCTGGATGAAGATGAGACTGAGTTTCTTGATAAACTGGAAATGGTGAGCTATCTTCTTTTATTGCCAATGGACTGCATATTAGTGTAGATATTAATGAGTTACTTATTGCTTATAAGCTCTTGATGATCAGTAATTTAAGAATCATGACTTGATGGCGTGGTCTTTGTGCTTATATCTTCTCTGTCGTCTTAACACTCTCATTTAAACTTGCTTTTTATAGTCAAAGAGGGAATATGAACGACAATTGGCTAATGAAGAGGAAGAACAGCTTCGTAGTTTCCAGGTAACTTTCTTTTGAATCCTGAATAACAACAGTTAACAAAGCTTAAAAATTTGTTAGATTAAGATTGTATTATGGTTTCATTTCCAGGCAGCGGTTGCAGCACGATCAGCAATCCTTCACGAACCAAAGGAAGCAGCACCTCCACCACCAGCTCCAATCACCAAGGTGAATATCTCATGATTCAAATCGGAATGTTAGATATAATTGCAGAAATCTGCATTTGAGCATTTGAATCACAAATGGTTAAATTTTATCTTGAACTCTTTTACAGGAACAAAAACCAACCGGGAAGAGAAATCCTGCGACTCGTCCATTTAAAGCGATCATAAAAGTCAAGCCACAACCGAAGAAGGCTAAAGCGACAGAGAAAGAAGAGAAAGAGATCCCATGGAATGGAAAACCAGCCAGCCAAATCGACCCGACTTCTTTAGATTCCGCAAAAGGCAATGTCACAGGTAAAACTGCTGAAGCTCTGCAAACAGGTTTAGGCTTAGTCTCATATAGTGATGAAAGTGAAGACGATGATTAACATTTTGTGTTACTGGCTCAAGAATCTATATAAACATTCACAATGAATCGAAAAATTGAATCTTTTGGTGTCAGTTCCATTGTGTATTAACTCACAAATGCTAAAATCACTAGAAAGGGAATTTTATGTAGAAGCACTCAGATGAAGTTGTACTAAAGAAGCATAAACCCCATCTTTGATATTAATCAAAGTCTCATGCTTTCCCTTCTCCACGATGACTCCATTCTTAACAACTGCAATTACATCTGCATTCTTGATTGTCGATAAACGATGTGCAACCACCACGGTGGTTCGGTTAACCATAACCCGGTCCAATGCATCCTGAACCACACGCTCCGACTCAGCGTCTAGGGCACTAGTGGCTTCATCAAGTAGCAACACCTTAGGGTCTTTAACGATTGCTCTGGCTATGGCTACTCTCTGCTTTTGCCCACCTGATAATTGAACTCCTCTTTCACCCACCATTGTATCATAGCCCTGCAACGGTAAGTAAATCTTTCAGTTCAACCTGTATCCATGGACCTGGAAATTAGGGCTGGACACTCGGTTTATTTGGTTCTATATTTCTGGCTTTTGAAGCTGTTCAATGTTAAAACTTAGAATGTTGGTGTGGTGCGGTTAAAGTTACCTGTTGTAGGCCACTGATGAAGCCATGAGCGTTAGATAGCTCAGCTGCGGATACTATTTTGGTTTCAGAAGCATCTCCTCCTTTACCATAAGCAATGTTTGCTCTGATCGTTTCATTGAACAAAACCGGTTCTTGGCTCACCAGACCGGTTTGCTGCCTTAACCATTTCAGCTGCAAAGTCTTGATCTCAACTCCATCAAGAGTGATCTGACCAGAATCAGGGTCGTAAAACCTCTGTAGCAACGCGATCACTGTCGATTTCCCGCTTCCACTCTCTCCAACCAAAGCTATTGTCTGAAACAGAGGGATAAAAAAAACAAACTAGAGAATTTAGAATTTAATTGACTATAGCAAACTAACAGATCTAGTTTCAATTTTTCAATATCTTACCTTGCCAGCGCGAATAGACAGACAGAGATCTTGGAAGATCTGAACGTCTGGTCTTGAAGGATATTTGAAACTGATATGACGAAGTTCGATATCTCCTTTAACATTATCAAGAACTCTCCCAGACTCATCACTAGGATCAATCTTCGATTCCCTGTCTATAACCGCAAATATCGATGCAGCCGCATTGCTAGCTTTGCTGGAATCAGGAGACAATGAGCTTGACTGAGAAATAGCTACAGCCGCCATTGTCAAAGCAAAGAAAACCTGTTTCGAAACAACACAAATCAGTCTTTAGAAGGGAACAAGAAAACAGGAATCACGAGTATCTGAATGTTTTTGTTGCTTTTTACCCTGAAAACAGAATCGAAGGTTGTTTTCCCGTCATCGACAAGCCTTGCACCGGCATAGAAACTGGCGGCGTAAGAAGAGAAGAGGACAAAGAAAGAAACTCCGAAACCGATACCACTAACTATGCCTTGACGTATTCCTGTTCTCATAGGACCTTCACATTTCTTCTTATACATTTTCATCACTTTCTCCTCTGCACAGAATGAAGCAACCGTTCTTATGCTCCCGACTGCATCGTTCGCTACTTGGCTCGCTTCCTCGTACATTCTCTGCCAACAATTTTTCGGTTTCATCAGACACAAAAACAGAGATATGTAACTTGTGTAAAAAGAGAGTTTAGTTGTACCTTTGCATCTGCACTGAAGCCAACCATGAACTTCATGTATATATAACCGTTAAGCCCGATTAGGGGAAGCATCGCAAGAACAATGAAAGCTAACTGCCAGCTCGCCACAAACGCGATGACCAAACCCGCTGTTACAGACGCAAGATTCTGAACCGTTTGAGCCAGTGCGTCTCCAACTAGACCACGAACCGTAGCTGCATCAGCAGAGAGCCTAGCTCCAATAGCACCACTTGAGTTCTCAGTCTCATCGAACCATCCAACTTCCATACGAACCACTTTCTCAAAACACATTGATCTTATCCTCTGCACCAATTTACATCCGGCTATGGAGAAAAAGATCGTTTGTGCCGGGTAGACCACCATTGAAGCTACACCAAGAAGCATGAAGATGATTGCCCAAAACCTTGTATCGGATTTTAACTGCTGAGGTGGTTTGAAAAATGCTTCGATCACGCTTGATATTAGAATCCCGAAAATCGGTAGTATAACTCCGTTTAAGACCGCGGCTATAGATCCGAGTATAAGCATAGGAATCTCTGGTTTGTTTAGAGCAGCGACTCTAAAGAAAGAGACTTTCTTGTGTTCTGTTTCACTTTCTTTAATCGGAGTGGAAACCTTGATGTCCTGCTCTGGTATGGCTTCGTTGTTTGTATCTATTCCTGCTGGAAAACCAAACATAGAGAAAGAAGAGGATCTTTTGCTTAAAGACCGGCTTAGCGACGACTTCCTTAAACTAGACCGTTTCATGGACTCCATTGACAGTTTCTGCTCATCCGTTGAATCTTCTGTCTGTTTAGTATCTTCTTGTAGACGTATGAGCTGAGAATACGATCCTTCCGGGTCTCTTAGGAGCTCAGAGTGAGAACCTGATCATACATTTATGATCAGCACTTGCTATCAGATAGGATTGGATATATACACATGTATCTGTGTTAAAAACTTTTGAGTTTTACCTTTCTCTACGATCTTGCCTTGATGAATCACAGCAATCATGTCTGCATTTCTCACCGTGCTCAATCTGTGAGCGACAACGACAGTTGTTCGGTTGACCATGATCCTGTCAAGAGCTTCTTGAACAATCCTCTCAGACTCTGCATCAAGTGCGCTTGTTGCTTCATCTAAAAGCAAGATTCTTGGATCTTTCAGAATCGCTCTAGCCACCGCAATCCTCTGTTTTTGCCCACCCGAAAGCTGAGTTCCGTGTTCTCCAACCATCGTGTCTAAACCCTGCAATTTACAGTTAATTCAGTTACATTTACAAGCTTCATCAAAATGAAAACAGAGACAAAAAACAGAGGAGAGGTGATTTAGTTCTCAACCTGAGGAAGCTTGTCAATGAATTTAGACGCATTTGCGAGCTCTGTAGCCTTACGAATCTCTTCGATTGTTGCATTTTCTTTCCCGTATGCGATGTTTTCCTTTATGCTTGAAGTGAACAAAACCGGTTCTTGACTCACAAGTCCTATCTTGCTTCTGATCCACTTTAGCTGAAACTCTTTGAGGTTAATCCCATCTATTCGGACTTCACCGCTTTGTGGATCATAAAACCTCTCTATTAGACTCACAACAGTAGACTTTCCACTTCCGCTCTGCCCAACTAGAGCCACGGTTGAACCACTCGAGATAGAGAGTGAAAACCCGCGAAAGATCTGCTCTTCTGGTCTTGCCGGGTAACTAAAGTTGACATCTTTAAGCTCAATGTCTCCTCTAATATCATCAAGAACTTTTCCAGTTGTATCAGAAGCATCAATCTCCGGCTTTCTTTTGATTGTTTCAAACATTTTGTATGCCGCGGCTTGACCAGCTGCAAACGCGCTTAAACATGGAGATGCTTGTCCTAACGACCTGATATTAGCATGAAAAGCAAATTAGATAATAGACAATAAGAAGTTTAAGGACCAAAGTCGATTCGAAAGCTCACATGGAACCGGTTAAAACCGCGAAGATGATGATGAGAACTTGTCCTCCTGTGTATCCTTTCTCCAATATCATCTTCCCACCATACCAAACCGCTAAAGCATAAGTGCAAAAGATGACTATGTTGAGTGTACCAAGTCCAAGCCCAGTGGAAGCTCCTTCAAACACCCCTGCTCTATATGCAGAGACAAGATGCTTATTGTAATTGCTTATCGCTTGCTTCTCTCCGGTAAACGATGCAACCGTTCTAATCGACCCGACTGTTTGCTCAACTACAACCGCAGCTTTTGCATAAGAAGTTTGTCCACGAGAAGCCATTTTCGAAATGACGATTGCTAGAGCTGCACCAGTCATTACTAGAAGCGGAATTGAAGATACCATGACTAATGTAAGAAGCCATCCTTCAGTGAAAGCTATCACAAATCCACCAACAAACGTTGATACCAATTGTATAGCCTTCCCAACCTACAAAAAGTATGAAACTTAGTATCTAATTCAACCCCCCAAAAAAAAGACAATAATTTGATTGAAACTTTTTGTAGTGTTCTGTTACCTTTTCTCCCATGGCGTCTTGTATAAGCACAGTGTCACCTGACATTCTTCCAACAACTTCTCCTGTGTTGGTTTCGACATCGAAGAAGGCAATGTCTTGTCTCAATATAGTTTGCAGATACAAACTCCTTATTCTTCCAGCTTGTCTCTCACCGGAGATCATCCAACCAGAAACCTCTGATTATATACACAAACATCCATAAAGATCAAAATCTTTCACACAAAAAAAACCACTAAAGATTTCAGAAAAAATCAACGAGTGTGTGCTTACGGAGAAGAGCTGCCACTAGAGTTCCAAGCCCAAGATATACAAATTTCAGAGCCACCTGTGAGTAAAATTCTTCTAACGATCAATCATTGTGGTCTTGTGGGTCTAAACAAGAAAGGTAAAAGAGTAGAATCTATTTATTTACCTTAGCTATCTTATCAGAAACATCTGAACTGTTTTGGTTTTGTCCAAACACATCTATGACATCTCCGAAGAGGATCGTCATGATAGGGAAGCCAAGACCGTTACCCACCGCGCCTATTGTTCCGAGGATCATCAAAACGATGTCAAATGAATCTGCAAAGGCAAACAGCTTGTGAAACGGTACTGTTTTGGTCTTCTCATCTTCTTCTTCTTTTTTGTTCTTCTCTGTTTTTTTCTTAACAGATTCAGTCTTAAGTTCTTTTTCTTCTTCTTCATGAATTTTAGAGTTTGAAGTCTCTACGTTTGCTCTGTTTGGTGAATCCACCTTCAACCCCTCCTCTGATTCCATTACACTATCCATTGTCGTTTGATCCTATCAAGAAAACCAAAGCTAAAGATGGAAACTTTAAAATCTAAAAGAAAACAGAGAAAAAAAATATCTAAGTAGATAGATAAAAGACCATTGGAAAAACCCCAGAA